ATATGTAAAGCGCTGTGTAAATTGACAGCGCTATATAAGTACCTGAAATAAATAATAAATAACTAGTTCAGACACTTTCACCCCCTTTCAGCTTTCAGTGCTCACACTTTGAATGCCAGTTACTCAGCCATGCAACACTGTACCCAAATGAACTGTTTACATTTTTTTTGAAACAGAGTTTTCTTTTGGTGGTATTTAATCACCACTTGGTTTTTTATCTTTTGCTATATAAATGAAAAAAGATCAAACATTTTGAAGAAAAAAACAAAACGCATTTTTCTTACAAAATATTGCAAATAAATAATCTTTCTTCATAAATCCAGGCCAAATAGTATTCTACCTTTTTTGGTAAAACAAAAAACCCAAATCGGTATATATAAAAAATATAATTTTTTTTACATTTTTATTTTTTGCATTATTTATTTTTTTACATACCGTCACCCTAACATAAGGACACTGTACTACTTATGGGAGGAGTGATCAGGATTTTTTTTATTACACTGTGATTGCGTTTGCAGCCATGCTGGCTATAAAAGAAATAAACTTTCATTCTCTCTGGCTGAATTCCTGCAGCCATTGAGAAATACTGCGAGAGCTGATTGGTCACAGATTTCACAATAGTAAATAATTATGCCAGGAAATGACATCTTCTTTACTACTGTGCATGTGACTGCTGAATGGCCAACCCATAGCATCCTAGTAGTGATCCGTGTCCGGAGGAAACAGCAGGCACAGATTGTGCATCTATGGGATCTCAGAGAGCACACACAGGAGGCAAATGGGGGGGGGGGGGGATATTTAGAAACATCCACCCACATTGGCGTTGTTTCTGTCTGGCTGTTTAATAGGCCGCTTGGTAGCAGTGGACATCCGCGCATGCTCATACGTGTGGACAGTGACAAATGTGCAGTCTTTTATGCTCATAGAAATATGCATTTCTATGCCTACAGCCAAACAGCACATTTTAGCCTGATGGCTGGCACTATTTTTCTGACAGCTTTGGATCAGCATGACAGCCCGCCAACTAGCACTTTCAGCAGAGGTCATCAGTGGCAGCCATCATATTTCACTTAACACTGGTTACATTTAAATGGTCCCATAATTCATTTAGGTTTGCTAATCCAGTTACAAATACCAGGGCCCTGATTGGCTACTCTAGCAGATGCAGAAGTGTGGAAAAAACCCCTATGTGAACAGACCCCCTTTAACTACTATTATCCCATGGATATGCATGCTGTCTTGCATGTTGCTACCTAGTCATTGTCCATCTCCTCCGAGAACTTAAGAGCCAGTCACCAAAATCTGGAGAATTTTGTTCCAAGTAGAAATTGTGCTGCACATATGGTTTGAAATTTCTTTTACTTTTCCCTAATTTGGACTGGGCAGTAGAGCATGAGTTTCTCTTGTTTAACCTGTTCACACCTAAGGGTAAAACCAATCTTAATGCCTAAGCACAATTTTGCAACATTAACATGTGATAGTAAAACCGTACATATCACAACTACTTTGTACATCCAGGTGAATTATACATAGTTTTTTGTCAGGAAAAATTGGGCTTTCATTTGGTGGTAAATGGGAATGGATATCTCCTGATTTTCTTTTTTTTTTATTATCAAAGGAAAACAGGCCCAAAATAGTAAAAAAAAAATATTTGTTTTAATTTAGCTGTGTGTTTTTTGTTACTACCATAACCTACCACCAAAAGAACCCAAAATAAATTTTCCAGCTCTTGACGATTGCAGCGATACCATGTATGTGTATGTTATTTGTGCCCGTAGTACAACCCAGAAACAATAGTGCTTTGTTTTTCGTTTACCTAAAACACACTGACACTAATACCAAATTAAAAAAAAAAAAAAAAAAAAATCCTGACCTTTGACCCTGACCCAAACATTAACCCTGGCACTGAACTAGATCAAATCTTGATCTAGGTATTTTTTCTTTGTTTCATTTTATTTTTTAATATTTATCAAACAAACATATTTTCTCCCCTCTATACCAGGAGTTAGAGAGATACAATGTATCTCTCTCCTCAATTCATAGAGAGAAAAGAAAAACAAAGAGCCGGGCTGTACAGTGACTGTTCACTGTGATAGCCAATCAGAGGCTAGCACAGCGATTATGTGACCCCAGAATTGGGAGTCCTGGGTCCCAATCATTAGAACGCGACCTGGGACTCTCAATGACACCCCGCAAGGTGCGCAGATATGCGGCTCCACGGAAAAAAGCCCAGATCAGTGAGGCTGCATATTTGTGTGATGTCAGTGTCAAGGGGTTAAGAAGTGTACATTTAGCAAGTGCTAGAAAGCAGATTGCTGGCCATTGTTTTTTAGCATTGTTTTGTTTATTTTTAGGGAATTGACTGTATCTTTACACTGTTGTAACAAACTGTTCAGCAGAGCATATACTAAGCTAGGGTCTCATCCATCCACTGAAAGGCCTGAACCATTATCTGTGCATCCCTTTAACATGTCCTCACTGTCTGTGTACTGTGCAGACTGCTGACTTCTGATTCACCTTTGCGTTTCTAATTGTTAATCCCCAGCAAGTCAGGTCTGTACTTCAATGCAGCATCAGTCCTACAACACAATTATATAAATAATACAAAGAGAACCAATAATTGTTTGGAGTCAATATTTATATTTTGTTTACGGTTGCAAGCTGTTTACATTTTTAGATCTTTATTATTAATATACAATCTTTATTTTACATACATTTAGTTTTCTGTTTCAATAGATTTTATTGTATTTTACAAAAAAAAAAAAAAAATGCTTTACAGCAGTGTTGCCCACATAGGGCTGCTGTACATAGTGAGCAAAAAGAGTGATAAAATCCATGACTTGATGACTTGAGTTTTGACACTTACTAAAATTTAGTGAGGCCTATCCTGTCCTTTGGGATAGTTTAATGAAGGATGGGGGGGGGGGGGGCAGTGACATTAAGATATGTTCTGTAATGTAATAAAAATAGGTATGGGGTATCAAGAATGAAGGGGGGGGGGGGGAGAAGGACCAGGTGTGTAAGAAATTTAAGGTGTTCAAATTGATAAGTGTTCCACAAACATTTAGTTTCCTAAAAAAAACACATCGGTAACTTTTCCTTTGAAACAGGATGAGGATAAGCAATTCCTCTGACTATTTAGCTGCGCATGTAATTTGAACTTTAGCTATTTAGCTCTGTAAACAGGCTTTATATTTTGGCAAAGCTGTGAAGATTACCCTGGTAAACGTGTATAAAAATGAACATATTTAAAGAAATATATTTAGTCCTAAACATAATATATTTAAGACCATATATTTCCTTTAATGATCCTTTCATCATTATTTCTCACTGGAATGCACGCTCTTTAAAATTGATACATTTCCAGAAGAAGTCTTAGTACAATATTATAAGCTATAAAATTCCTAGTGGAATATTCATAGGGTAGTCCATCATATAATTGTGTATTCAAGAAATAGTTTTAACTACAGTGATATGCTCTGAGATGAAACTCACATATAAAATGGAACCTCAAACTTAAAGCGGAGCTCAATCCAAAAGGGGAAGTTCCGCTTTAAAGACTGGTCCCACATTCCCCTAAGGATTATCACCTTTTGGGAGCGCAGGGCGAGCGGGTACCCGAAATGAACAGGTACCCGCTCCCACTTCGCGCTCTGATCACCTAGGCGATTGGAAGCGAAAGTTGTCCCCCCTCCCTCCCTGTAGTCTTCTGGGACACGCGACAGGTCCCAGAAAACTACGGGACCATTCAGAAAGCGCAGCGCTACTTATGCATGCGCAGTAGGCACCTGGTTGTGAAGCTGCAAGCGGTCACAGCCGGGTGCCCACACTGAAGATGCTGGCACTGGGAACACCAGACGACTGGTGAAACGGACTGCGTGGAGGACACCACAGGATCGAGAGACAGGTGAGTGGCTGTTTTTTTTTACAGTGTGACTGGAACTCCGCTTTAACAGCTTTCTGCATTTTAGCTGTGGTTCCAAAGTTATGACATTATCCTGAGACCCCAGAAAAATGTACTGTAACTAAAAAGCAAAACTTTTTTCTATATATTGGATAGAGTAAGGGTTACAACCCCTGACAGCTTTTTTTTTGCCATCTGTGTTCCATAGGGGAGAATTCCCTTCACTTCCTGTCCTATAATCAAAACCGGAAGTGCGAGGAAATCCCTCCAAAGTGAGGGAATCCCAGGGTCTCCAGAACTAATAGTCACACTAGATGTTCCCTCTATTATTGTTCTGATGTCAACCCAAAATTTGGGATTTTCCTTTCATTTTATTTTTTATGAAAATGATAAACAGGACATCCCTCTTCACTCTATCCAAAAGAAAAAAGTTTTGCCCTTTAGCTAAATACCCTATAAAATTCAGGCATATGCTCAGGCAAATCTCATATCTTAAAACGCATGAAGCTTTTTTCTGCATAGGTGTCAATGAAAAAAAGATGCAAAAAGGTTTTATTGTTCATTGTTGGTTTACTAACTAAAGCTGACCAGAGATTATTAGTTTTTAATCATTCAGCCAGTGGCCTGAAAGGAAAAAAAAACATACAGAAGCAGGTGGATGTCGAACGGAACAGCTGCACGTTGATTAAACGTCGGTCCATCTATGGCCAGCATTAGGCAGCATACTTTTAAAATATGAAAATGAAATTTGAATAGTGTGAGGCTACTGGGGCATTGGAAATATGTGGCCACTTTTGCTTTATTCATATCAGATTGCCAGGGGTCTCCATAAATGTCCTGGGTACTGGTTTTAAGGTTGTACAACTTTTCTCTAGAAAATCAGAAGTAGTGAAATGTTACTAGTTGTAGATCAGGTATTACTGTACGATATATCAAGGCACAGCTGTACAAACCATGAGATTATTTCACATACAATTTTCCATTATCTTCCTTTTTTTTTATTTCCAAAAAAAGTAAAACTGATACACAGGAATTATGGGATCACCATGTAATTTAGATACACATCATGATAAACAGAAGGGCATTATGGTAAATGTTACATGCTGTCTGGTAACTTCTGTTCTCTTTTTCTGGCAGGAATACCAGTTCTTCTATATTCTTCTCTTTCCTTTAAATATTCTTGCTTACATTCTTCATAAAAAACAGGATCTTTGAAGCTAGGAAATAAATGAAGAATGTTTATGTTTTAGTTTTAAAAAAATGCAATCTATATTAACTAAGCAGATTACAGATACAAATTAAAACCAAGCCACATTTTTTACAGGAAACACTGGAAGGCAACATTTTGTATCAATTTTTTTACAGATATTGTATATTTGATGCCTACACGTGATATAATTGAATAAAATACTAGAAAATTGTGCCCTTTTAATAATTTATTCAACAAAGAAATAAAAAGATGTAATGATGTACTGTTAGAAAAAAAAAAATGGGAATTTTTACTTAACTATAAAAATCATATCTTTGAATACAGTATAGGACACAGGAAGTGTACTCATAGACCATGGGTTATATGCCACTACCCTTAGGTGATCGGACACTGGCAAAAGCTTTGCAGTGCACCCTCATAGAACCCTGGGTCTTGAGAACCACTGCCCTGTCCTGTACTCCAAAACATGGAATTTATATGATAACATTCCCATTATCTTAATCACACAGTACAGGACATAGGATGTATACGTCATAGACCACCAAATGTCTGTAAGCAACAAACTGAGGGTTAGGCAACAATAGCAAACAAACTCACAAGGAAACAAGGGTCAATTGAGGCAAAACTCTCAGATGACTGCTTGAAGCACTTTGTATCAGATATTCACATCAGCAGAGGCCTAGAGACTTGCTGAAAACTCCTAGAAACATCAACAGAAGAGGTCCATCACCCAGGGGCTCTAGCAAAAAAAACTGGAGGCTCACAGAGCAAGTGGGATCATATGGGGGGGGGGCAGTCACAAGAAATCGTTTGTCAGTGTCCAGTCACCTGAAGGTAGTGGCATACAGTGCCTTGAGAAAGTAATCACATCCATTGAAATTTTCCACATTTTCTCATGTTACAACCAAAAACGTAAATGTATTTTATTAAGATTTTATGTGATAAACCAACACAAAGTGGCACATAATTGTGAAGTGGAAGGAAAATGATAGATAGTTCAACATTTTTTACAACTAAATATCTGAAAAGCGTGGTGTGCATTTGTATTCAGCCTCCTTTACTCTGATGCCCCTAACTAAAATCTAGTGGAACCAATTGCCTTCAGAAGTCACCTAATTAGTAAATAGAGTCCACCTGTGTGTAATTCAATCTCAATAAATACAGCTGTTCTGTGAAGCCCTCAGGGGTTTGTTAGAGAACATTAGTGAACAAACAGTATCATAAAGGCCAAGGAACACACCAGACAGGTCAGGGATAAAGTTGTGGAGAAGTTTAAAGCAGTGTTAGGTTATGAAAAATATCCCAAGCTTTGAACATCTCACGGAGCACTGCTTAATCCATCATCTGCAAATGGAAAGAGTGTGGCACAACTGCAAACCTAACAAAGAAATGGTCATCCACCTAAACTGACAGGCCGGGCAAGGAGAGCATTAATCAGAGAAGCAGCCCATGGTAACTCTGGAGGAGCTGCAGAGATCCGCAGCTCAGGTGGGAGAATCTGTCCACAGGACAATTAGTCATGCACTCCACAAAACTGGCCTTTATGGAAGAGTGGCAAGAATACAGCCATTGTTGAAAGAAAGCCATAAGAAGTTCCGTTTGCAGTTTGTGAGAAGCCATGTGGGGGACAGAGCAAACATGTGGAAGAAGGTGCTCTGGTCAGATGAGACCAAAACTGAACTTTTTGGCTTAAAAGCAAAATGCAATGTGTGGCAGAAAACGTACACTGCACATCACCCTAAACACACCATCCTCACGGTGAAAAATGGTGTTGGCAGCATCATGTTGTGGGGATACTTTTCTTCAGCAGGGACAGAGAAGCTGGTCAGAGTTGATGGGAAGATGGATGGAGCCAAATACAGGGCAATCTTAGAAGAAAACATGTTAGAGTCTGAAAAAGAATTAAGACTCGGCTGAAGGTTCACCTTCCAGCAAGACAACGACCCTAAACATACAGCCAGAGCTACAATGGAATGGTTTAGGCCAAAGCATATTCATGTGTTAGAATGGCCCAGTCAAAGTCCAGACCTAAATCCAATAAAGAATCTGTGGCAAGACCTGAAAATTGCTGTTCAAAGACACTCTCCATCCAATCTGACAGAGCTTGAGCTATTTTGCATAGAATGGGCAAACATTTCACTCTCTAGATGTGTAAAGCTGGTGTAAAGCTGGTAGAGACATCCCCAAAAAGATTGTAAATCCTGAAATCCTGTTCTGCATGGTTTCCTTGCAATAAAGGATAGGTTTACCTTTTAACAAAAAAATAATAAATGCACATTTATTATTTTTTTTTATTTCCGGAGCCAATAAAGCATTGCACCAGTGATCATGAGATTGCTAGTGCCATGAAGGTGTCCCTCTGACCTGTCAGTGTATCGGCTTGCTTGTACATCCCATATGGACAAGTGGACACTTCATAACAGAAAGGCTCAATTAACAACCACTGCACTGTGGAGAGCTGTGGTAGTTCATTGAAAACTACAAGCCGACAGCCAGAATGGGAAAAGCCGGGTGGGTGGAGCCAAGCACAGCTGCGTTTTTTTTTTAAATTGTGGCAACTAGTGAGGAGCAGAAGATCCCCCGCTAGCTGTCACAACAGGGAATCGGTGGGTGCAGGGGCAGGTCAGTTCGCAACATGTAATAGAGGGTTATTTTCTTATACAGTTCCCCATACCTAAAGCCCACTATCTTAGCATTTGCTCAAATCATCACCGCCAGGGGTTCAATAGCAAGTACAACATATTTAGGGGATAGAGGGCACACTTGCCTTGTCCCCCTGCTCAGCCTGAAGGTTTATGAGGTCCTGCCTCCCTCCCGGTTGGAAGCAACACACGCGTGGTATAATAATTTGACCCAAGAGATAAGTGTCTCTGAAGCCAAAGCACTGCAGTGTCTGCCAGAGATAGGGGCATTCCATGCAATCGAATGCCTTGCTGGCTTCCAGTGAGGGAAGTGCACAGTCACCCATATTGTCAGTCTGTGTTAGCATGTTCAGAAAAACTCTCCAAATATTAATGGCCATGGACTTTAATGGCATAAAGCCAGATTGGGCAGAGTGTATTATAGTAGCAATTTATTTATTCAGGCGAGTAGAGAATATCTTGACCAAGATTTTAACACCTACTGGTAATAAAGAAATGGGCCTGTATGAACTTGGGTTTGTGGGAGATTTACCAAGTAATAATAATACATTGTTTGCTCTGCTCATAGAATCAGGACGGCAGCCCTTTTATAGGGCGGTCTTTAATATCTTTAGCAATTGTGGAGCTAAGGTGTCAGCATAAAGTTTATAGACCTCAATGGGCAGCCTGTCCTCCCCCAGGCCTTGCAATTTGGGAAAGGAGCAATGGCTGCTACTATCCCCTTCTCCTCGATAGGGGAGTCCAGAGAGCATTTGTGTGCCATTGAGAGTTTTGTGAGTGTAACCTGATCTAAGAAATTCAGGAGCTCAGGCAGAGAAGGCTGTGCCTTAGGCAGGTATAAATCGGTATAAAAAAGCACCAGTTCGGTCATGATCAACTCTGGGCAGTTGGTCAATGTGCCATCAGTGGTGCATAATGCAGATAGGAGTCACCCCTTGTTGTAAATGAACAATTTTAGCCAAAAGGCGTCCTGTGTGCTCACCCTCCTAATAAGCTTGTTTCCTAAAAAATCTTTTCTTCTCCAAAGCAGAGACATGTAATTGTTTGAGCACTTCTTGGGCTTCCAGCCACACCTCCTGGTGTGGTGGAGAAGGGTCAAGAATGTACTGGCACTCCACTTTCCCAACCCATTGGGTAACCTGCTGCTCATATTTCATGGTTGCGGTTTGCACCACTTTGATTTCTGAAATGAAAAGGTCCCTAAAGTAACACTTAAAGGCATCCAAGCAAACTAGAGGGTCCCAAAAACCTGCATGCCAAAAGAATTAATCAGCAATATGGTATTCAACAGCAGCTGGGTCCTGGAATAATTTGAGCCAAAATGGATTAAGTTTCAAAGGAGCTTTAGGTAGGGTGGTATTAGGTCTAGCAGTAAGCCACGCAACCAGGGTAGAGTGATCAGATACCGTTCTAGTAGCATACTGCAGTTTGCAGACATGAGCTACACAGTTGGCAGAGACTAGACAAAGATCTATTCTAGATAGGTACATACAAGTCTTGGAAAAGAAAACTGCCATTCTCTAGGATTTCTACATCTATAAAAGGTCCATCTATCCCACTTCCCTCAAAAATCTGCTCAGGGCGGAAGCCCTAAAGTGGGGGCCTACTGCTGCTGGTGGCTGTTTCTTAGGCTTGAAACACATATACCCATTAAAGTCCCAAAAAAAACATTCCAGGCAGTTCAGATTTATCAAGAAGAAATTGGACTAACAGACTATAGACCACCGTAGCGAAGGTAGGTGGAATATACACAATTGCTAAAAGTTGAAATATCTTACAATTGAGGAAGAAATACAGTGCATCCAGAAAGTATTCACAGCGTTTAACTTTTTCCACATTGTTTATGTGGCAGCCTTATTCCAAAATGGATTAAAATAGATTTTTTTTTTCCCCTCAACATTCTACAAACAATACCCCATAATTACAATGTGAAAGAAGTTTTGAAATCTTTGCAATTTATTAAAAATAAAACAAACAAAAAAACATGTACATAATTATTCACAGCCTTTACCATGACACTCAAAATTGAGCACTGGTGCATCCTGTTCCCACTGATCATCCTTGAGATGTTTCCACAACTTGATTGGAGTCCACCTGTGGGAAATTCGGTTGATTGGACATGATTAGGCAAAGCATAAACCTGTCTATATAAGATCCCACAGTCAGCAGTGCATGTCAGAGCACAAACCTAGCCATGAAGTCCAAGGAATTGTCCCGTAGACCTCCGAGACAGGATTGTATCAACGCACAGATCATGGGAAGGGTACAAAAAATGTCTGCAGCATTGAAGGTCCCAATGAGCACAGTAATGTACAGAGACATCCTTGATGAAAACCTGTTCCAGAGAGCTCTGGACCTTAGACTG